ATCGTTAGGCCAGCAGCAGTGAAGTTCTGTGGCCGCACATTCTCCCGATGATTTGAAGTAACATAAAATGCCGGTAGCTCCCCTCGCTCTTATTAGGAGTAAGTAGATCGAGCTGAACTGCAGTCACGATAATGTATCGCGAGAAACCATACTGTAGCCGCACGTGCCACCCCGCCTTGACCCCGCCAGTGCGGCTACCCACAGTACCACTGATAATGATGCATCAAGCCAGCATGTAAGTGCATAGAATGTTTTGAACCTTGCTCCCAGTCGATTGAGCCACAGTCCATATTATGCCCCTGAGGTAGAGACAAAGAGATCAAGAAAGAGACGGAAAGACGCCACTCAGTGCCACCATCGCAGAACGACCATAAACGGCAGTTGCCATTTTTAGACCGTGAGACACTGCTCTCCCATTATATATTAGATATACTAATGCCCTCCGGGCGCGACCTGGTCCCGGTTCTTTGTCAAGAGGTCTCTGTGTGATCTGGTACTCAAAAACAAAATTCTTCTCAAATTGTGAATTGTACGTACTTAGCTTCATGACCTTGGCCGTGACATTGACTGAGTAGAGGGGGCCACTGCCGCGCCAGGGCTCCGCAAGCTCCGCCCAGCCGCTTCGTGGCCCCCTAAGTGATTTTGTATAAGATACAATTTTGAAGATTTTTAGAGGGTATGTGATTGTGCGGAACGATTGAATGTCTTGAATGTGTATACACCAGTTGGTTGACAATTTCACGAGTATCCCCACTGTTCGCCTCAAGCTGCACAGTAACTGTAACATTGATTTCTGAAAAGAAAATTGAGCCAGGGACACTGAGCGGAGTAAGTACTACCTGGCTAATTACCTACGTATGTAGAGCGGGTTCACATTGTGGAACTCGACATTCAGAGCGCGAGAAAGTAGCGTACTACTAGAGTATGTACGTGTGTTCAGTGTCCGTTCAATTCAAGTTGGCTAGCACTTATGCCAGCACAGGATGCATCCAAGTTGTTTCCAGTGGGAGAGTATGACTGAACGTCAAGGAAATCGAAGTTGAAAGGCCGGGCAGACATAGTTTGAAGACAGACCGTGTACTCCATCGACGTGGTTGACAAGACGGGCGTGACATGCGAGTTTGGGGCGGGCACGAGCATTCTTGCTTGTCCACCCCTCGCCGCTTCCTCCCTCAACCAAGTCTGGCCTAGCGGTGGAACAGCGCGAATGAAGTATGTCCTTCATCGAGACTTGAGTGTAGGAGTGGTGATACGATGTAAATGGTGACGAAATAATCAAAATGAGAGGTAGGTGTAACAGGGGCTTCGAGTGCCACAAAGCAGAGAAAAGTGTAGTCATAGAATAACCTACAGGTATATGGGCAGAGAAACCTTGACGGAAAATCAGTAGTATATGGATGGCTTGGAGAGGATTCACAGACATATGGGTTCGCTCCGAAGCTTAGATAGAGTAATACACGAGAGCACTTACTAGAACATTGGTAGTTGATTGCTGGCAGCGACCGAGTCTTACGCGACTCTGTGACGAGACGATACACGGGGTCAAGAGAGAAAGAAATCAAACATCTGTCATTTGTATCGCTCATTCCGATAACATTGATAGCATGTCGTACTCACTCTACCCAGCTAGTGATCATGGAATGAGCTCGAGTACAGGGTGTCGACTCTGAGGAATCGGATCGATCATCTTTGAGGGGCACATTAGCGAGTAGTATCCGTGTAAAGGTCCAAGCTGAAGATGTTAGATGGTATTAAGATCGGCATATTCACAGTAGTAAGTTGTTAGCGTGAAAGACAGCGGAAGATGATGGTGGTAACAATAGCCAGAATGGACAAAATCAATGGAGCACTTGAAGAAGAGGCAATATCATGATTCATACTTACGCCACCCCGCCACTGAAAATCAGATTACGCATTGCGGGTCTACTTATCCTCACTCCGGACAGTATGTAGTTTGTCTGACTTGTCGATTGACTGAGTGTTGAAGATACCAGAGCAACTGTTCAGCTCCGAATGGTTATAAGTTTTGGTTTTCTCAGATTTCTATGATCATGCCAGTGAGGCAAACTACTTACTTAGTACCGTACACATAGTTTGGTTGAAACTCCGCCAAGCCGAACCTACTTGGAGATATTGGCTGATACTAGAAAGCCTTTAGAAGATCAGGTGCATATGCAAATGAGATTGAGAGCAAGTTGAGGGAGAGGTTTGAAGCAGTGCTAGGTTTAGAATCTGAAAGCATTGCGCTTGAAGAGTGGCGTGGGTGACCCGCTTGAACCGGACCGTGAACGCACGCGACTAAAAAGAGACTAACTAAATAGGGAAGGTAACAGCTACCAAATTGAGCGAAACCTCGGTTTTCGGCATCATGTCAATACGATTGCCCTCCGGGCGCGACCTGGTCCTTTGTCCTCTATTAAATCGTCAACCGTTCCTACGTCCTCTTGTTTTATTTGTATGGCACGCGTACATGAAAAAGTCATGCGAGTTCTCTTGGAGTTCTCATTACACCACAGAAACACAGAGAACTAAGAAGTCACTTCAATGCAGACCATGTACGAAAGCGAGATCAGTGACTCAAAGGATAATACTCTCAGTCTCCGACAGGTGTTAGTAGTATTTTTCAACTCTGACCATACCTCCTACAAAGTAATATTGATGCAGGCGGGCCACTGCCGCGCCAGGGCTGCGCAAGCTCCGCCCAGCTGCTTCGTGGCCCGAAGTGGTTTTGTCAACCGATACAATCTTGAACAACTCTCAGTAATCAGTACTCAGTGATAGTGCTTATATGGTCTATCAGGAAAGCTTCACCAGCAGCCCAAGTCAATAGGCACACTCAGAATTGTTTTAGACCATTGTTTCGATGTATTACCCCACACCATCCGACTACATAGGCCCAACTACAAGGATCTATACAGCAAAAACAGAGCATCTCGAATTGAACAGAAAATACCTTAGACGCCAACTCCTCGGACAATGCACTCCGAATCGCGCTCTCCTCCAACATGTCGGAGATGCTTTTCACACCGCTCACCTTCGTCACAGAGTGCGTTCGGGATTTGAATTTTCTTTGAATCACGTTGTCGGAATGTGTGGTGACAACGATAGAGGCGACTGTACCTTTGACGGAGGCTGGGCTTTGGAGTATTGAGGGTG